TCTCTCTCATCTCTCTCATCTCTTTCTCATCTCTCTCATCTCTCTCTCCTCTCTCTCTCTCTCTCTCCTCTCTGTCTCTCGTCTTTCCGTCTCTCTTCTCTCTCTTCTCTCGCAGGAGGATCCGGGCAAAGAGCCACATATAAAGGACTCTTCACCCCTGCCTCCAAAAAGAGCGCCGTGTTTTTTCCTACCTCGCTGCCCTCCACTTTCCCATTCTGGAGCGCTAGCTTTCGCCCCCCCCTTGGCCTCAAGTTTACTGTACCAATGGACCAGACACGACCTGCGCCTGGGACAATAGTTTTCTACTATAGCTTGTACCCCTTTTCAAGAATCCCTGGCCTGGTGTGTCAGCACCGCCAGTCCCAGACGGGTCGTGTTTGGGTGGGATCTCATCAAATGGACCTTCAGTCACCTTGTGACCGCCCCCCCTCACCAGGGCAGGGCGGCCCGGGAGGGTCGCTGCGTTTGCTTAGAGTGATGTATGCTTAGGGTGAATCCCTGGCATTGGGCAAGATTGAGGATTTTCCTGGGCTGATGAAATCCAAGGGTGTTCCGCTGCATTGGGCTGGATTTACCTACATTAGGCCGGGCTTCAGGGATGTATGCTGTAAGTGGCATCCAGTTTTGGGTCCAGGTGGTCCAGGTCGTTGAACTGGGCGAAGAGGACCCGGTCCACAGGCCTGGGCAGCGACTTCGGCATGGACTTCCTTTGGTGCCGCTTTGTGGCCGCCCAGCTCCGGGCTCGTCGGGGGGGCTTGGAGAGGTGGGATGGAGGAGATTCTGGGAGATCCAGAACACCCTCATGTCTCATTTAATTAACCCGGCTGACAACCCCAAGAGCAAAGCATCCACCAAGAATGGGCAAGAGAATTAAGCTTGTGGTTGTTCGCTGACCCGTTGCAGCCTTCACAAGTGGAATATGGAACACAACTTTCAAAAACAAAACATGTTGAAGTGCAATCCCAGAGTTGCAAAAAACGATATCAGACCAAAATAGATGTACCGAGCCAACACCAAGCCATGACCGAGACACCGCGCAACATGACCAACGCGCCCGCGAAACATGACCGAGACACCACCAAGTCATGACCGAGACGCCGGGACACCCCAGCGCGGGGGACTGTGGATCCGACGGCGCGCCGGTGCACAACCCCAGTGCCAGTAGCAACTTGGAAAACTTTGATGCCGATGCTGGTCACTGAGCTGCCGCGCCATGTGTGGCAGTGCAGTACTTCGGAGAAAATCACCGCGCCATGCAGTGCAAGTGAGATTGCGGAGGGTGGCTGTCAGTGCAAATGTTCTTGTTTGTAGCTTCAAGGGCATACTTTAGGGGCAGCAGCTGCGCGTAAAATTTTAACTTTCTCTGTGAGGGTAGGTCTGCAGAATTTGGAGCTAAATCCTGCTACCTTGAGAAGGTATCTGGTATCCGGGAGCCTTTGGTACTGTATATAAATATATGTAGTAATATCATGTGTGTGTGCAGGATTTATATTATCTAAATCTATATGTTTACAATCTACATGCTTCTTGTGGACTTATTTACATACAGACACCGAAGTGGATCCCTTCCTGTCCGATGGGCCTCACCGAGAAGGAGAGGACCGACCTGAAGAAAATCCATCTGACTCAGGCCAGATCTTTCTGTACGGGATGCTTCAAAAAAACTGCACAGACACATGCAAATGACTTTTCTTTTACCTCAGATCATCATATCATCCCTCTAAGGCGTGGACCGAGTGTGTGCCATCATCGATGCAGAGCACATGTACAAACTTCCACACCTGGAAAGCTACAATTTCGAGGTGCCGACCTTCGCCATCGTTCGTCGCGTTTCGAGTTTCTTCAACAATTTTTCCTGTGGACGTGCGGGGAACAAACTGAGAAAAAACGGAGGGCAGAGAAAGGGGTGCGAAAGTCGATGCAAAACAACAAACGGAAAGAAACTTCAAACATATTCCTTGAAACAAACACTTTAAAGTATGCCCTTTGTGTTGGTGTTTTGTTTCATGGAGTGACGAGTTTTCATGCAAGGGAAGGCGGGCACTTCCCGCCTTCTAGCCGCCCATGATGTTCAGGATGGGCTGGCCGTCCAAGAGGTTCTCTTGAATGAATTTGCGGAATACACACAGAGGACTGCGCAGCATCCAAAGATGGGCGCATTGAAGATGTCAGCAGTTTGTGTTTGACGACATCCCAGCTCTGTAGGGACACGTGCTTTCTGACATCAAACTCTACCAGCACCCTTCAACGAGTCACCAATTGAAACCTCTTGTCCAAGAACCCTCGAGAGGAGACCTGGCAAGGAGACCCATGAAGAGGTGTGTTTTCCATGGTTTTCCCACGTCAAATTGCTTGCTCTACCGATGGGAAGCCGCCAAAGAAGCACCGGTAGATTGATGTCTTGAGTCTCAGTGCAGCGGGTGTTTGGTGATCAGCACATCTCCTTTCCTAGAAGGTTTTTTGGAGCCACCCTAAAGGACCATACTGTCCCCTTGCAGTCCAAATGACAGATGTTTATCCATTTATCCCTTGGTAGATCTTCGATGATCTTCGCATCGTCGGGTTAGGTAAAAAGGTGATTAGAAGTTGGGCGGGGTCATGTTGATGAACGGACAGGAGCATGGAGACTTCTGGTCAGCTACGAGATGATCTAGAACAGCTGTCCATCTACTCGGCACAACGGACCGAGGGGTGGAGGGCATTTGCGAGCAATCGGCCAGGGGAGGATCCAAGAAAAGGGAAATGAAACCACCAAGTGGAGCTAGAACACAGAGTAGATTAAGGCCGCTGATTGAACCATTTGTCCAGGGTTTTGTCAGGCACAGGTGGCACAGCCCAGGGGGGCAGGTCACATTGTTCCGTCCGAAGCACATGTCGCCTTGAAACAACCCCCCTTGTAAGAGTCCCAAACCCGTTCACTCCAGTTCTGCAGGAACTATATATTATACTAAATTATATATAATATAGTTTATATATATATATGTATATAGTGTTTGTCCCATTGCCTGCAACCCAACCATCATCAGCCACGTATTCAGCCCTGGTCAAAGCCCTGGGATAGACCCAAACTATCCCAAACTACTATAGATATCTCACCCCGCTCCCATTCTTCAAAAGATGTCTCTCAAGTCCGCCCAGGTGCCGGACGGCCAAAGACACACAGCTGGTGCGTGTTCGCGGCTTGGACCCGTAGTTCCTGGTTTGGCAGATCAGGTTATTGCTGTTTTTTCTCCTGCGGCCCTCTGGGTGAATCCCCCAGAATGGGGAAGATGCTTTTTCTTCCCAGCTTCCTTCAGCAAATCCAAGAGTTTGGACACATCCAACCAGGACGTTCCTAGAACCACCAGCGCCGGCTTACGACGCTGGCCTTCCCCACGTGTCGGCGTGCTGTGCGCAGAACGGGGGTGTTCAGCACAGCAGAATGAACGGCGGACGCAGGGGACTCGTTGGTGTGGAACGAAGAAACTTCATGAGGAACCCTACTGATGTGGAGCTGAAGTAGCACTTCAAAATGGGCAGGTGGCACCCACTTAGCGGATAACCTTTACTGGAATCTTTCTTGGGGATTAGCTTCCCCGCTGAAGATGAAGAGATGATACATCGCTCACCCTTTAGGAGTCAGTGGACGATGACCCGGCAACGACCAGTCGTTTCACACGTTGGCGGCAGAGGGAATGCCTTTTTCAAGTTGAAGGCTTTTGCCTGGTGATGGTTGTTGGTTTTGAAAGAAGCAGACCTCCACACATGTCCACACTACGGCCTTTGCCTCAAATTGGGGTGTTTTTTGCCAGCAGATTGTAGTTCAGGGAGGACCATGTGCAGTGCAGTCCATTCCAGCTTGCTTGGCCACTTGCAGTTCAGGGATCGAGCCTCGTTCGTCTTTCGCGCCGTCGCAAACGGGCAGAAGCCGAGACGTCGCCTTCCCCGTGGGTCGCCGGATTCCAGGTGTGAAGCCCTACCTGGCCCAGGCCGTCTCGTCTCGACGCGTCTCGTCTCGACCGCGCGGGGCGCCACCCGAAGCGGCCACGGCGTGGCCCGAAGAAGTCGCTGTGGTGAGGCGAAATCAGGAATCGGTGCGTTGGAATTTGAGCGAGTGGACGAACAGATCATCTTCGATGTTCCAGGAGTTTTGTGGAGAAAGTGTCACTAAAGAAAGTTGAAAATGTGAAATTACTGTGGTTTTGAGAAAATCTTACGCACACGAGTTTACCCTGTGCTCGAGCAAACATACCCTCTTCAGGTACATCGGATTCATAGCATCTGAAGCTGAGTCCCTTGCCATGCGGCCGGAAAGTAAGCAACTCTTCCTAGCCGGATCGCTTGGCAACTGAATTGGTGCCTGGCAGGGCAGATAATATGAATGTTGCAAACTCACCAGCCCCAGAGGGCCCGCAGAGGGCCCGCGAGTTTGGGGCCAAGAACACCGACTGAAAGGCACCAACGGCCACGCCCAGAAACTCAGGCCTTCCTCCCGAAACTCGGGCGTAACGGCACGGTGTCCAAGTGTTCTTTGGGCCCAAAGACTTGACCATTTCAGCAGCAGAAAGGAGATTCAAGAATCCCCAAAAGAAGGGTTCGCAGAGTTCGACATCGGTTCAGCTCGGTCTCTTTGGCTTTAAACAGTCTTGCCAGTGGTCGGACTACGGTGCAAATGAACCCCCCATTTTCGGATCCAGGTCCGGTCTTGTCGCGTCCAACGAAAAAACGAAAAGTCACAAACAGACCCCGTCGCGTCAGGCCTCCTGGAAGATGTGGAAGGCCCTCTTTCGCTGCAAGCAGTATAACTTGGAAGCCGTGCCATCCTTAGAGCCACCGAATCACCGACTTGGTACCGATTCCCGATGCGTCTGTGCGATGTGGAGACGAACAGAACCCGTCGTGTCTTTCCGTCGTGGAGTTGAGTTCAAAGGGACGTTGTTTCCAATGGTGGAAGGCAGAAGGGTCAGTGAAGCCGCCGGCTGCACGAAGAGCTGCGAGATGTTTGAAGTGATGTTGAAGCCTCAAGGCAGATGTTCATGAAGGTACCCCTCAAGCGGGTACTTGACCTTGTAAGCCGGTGCAGGTTGTCTCCCATCAACCAGATTGGATACATGAGAACAGCAGTGCTTGTCGGGAGTTGGCAGCTTACGTCCGAGGCAATGACGGAAGCCAGAAGCTTGAGTGGAACCTGGTTTCCCAAGTCTCCAAGCAGAAACAAGTCTGGATGGAACTCCCCAAACAACATACAACAACCCCTTGCTATGTAAAGGGTCGAATAGCTCGCCACTCCTTGGAAAAAGCTGAACAGCAGAAGTGTTTCTCATTGGGACTGGGTTCCCAGGACAAATTCTTCTTCACACAGAGTGTGGTGCAAGAGTTCCTTCCTGTCGTGGCTTTGTAGTTCTGTGCTACACCTCACGGCTTGTAGGGCTGAGAATGCTTCACGCGAAGCAAGCACCAGAATCCTCGTCCGTGTCAGGCATCTTGAGACGTCTTCCTCCCATTCAGACCGGACATCACTAGACTTGATGGAGCATTTGGGACCACCCCATGTCAGTGCGAAGTCTGTGCCAGTGCTCTCCCCCTGCCCAACCTCCCCCCCACTGCTTTGCTTTGCCGATCGGACTAAGGTGTGTCACATTGATGGGACTCTCATCAACGGAGTCTTTTGGCGAGTTCTGGCTGCCGGACTCGTGTTGTGCATCCCGCTGCTCCTTTGGCCACCCAGCAGCAGAATGCGCAGACCCGAGTCGGACCCAAGCGCACCCGAGTCGCACCCATGGATGTCCCTGGAGGCTTTGCGAAGGATCGGGAAAATAGATTGACAAGGATGGGGGGTTGCAAGCCATCATCGGGTCATAGACCCAACCGGAGTTGGGTATTGGAAGGACAAGAAGTCTTGGAGTGTGCAGCCGAGTGGTAGCTCGTTTCCTTGAGTTGTGTATCATCACTCATTTGCAGGTCAGGACAGCTACGCTCGATGGACGCTGCAGACATGAACTCCCCAAAGTCTTGTGACATTCGTTCCATTCGTTGTGACATACTTTTGCCAAGAATGCAAGTCTGCAGGACCCCGGTTTCCACACCAATCCCCGTTTCCGAAGCGAATGGAGACGGCGACGAGATGGAGACGGCGTCGAGATGGAGACGACGACCGCGCGACGATATCCCGCGCGCGAGACATGTTGCTCGTCTCCTGGCCGCAGCGCAGCGTCCTTCAGCCTCGCTCCCTTCGCCAGGTATGTGCTGCAGCAACTCCGGCCACTCAGCGGGCTGAACAAGCAGAGCGGTGTCAGAGGGGTTTCAGAACCCCCCCCGGAATCCGAGTCACAGTAGTTAGGCATTGGGTGCCCGTTAGCCTTCCCTTGGACCATTTAAAATTGGAACAGACAAAATCCTTAGTAAAACAATGGTGGTTCGGGATTTATCCTATTAAATTAATGGTGGTTGGAAGCCTAGGCGGGGTGTATTCCTAGAGGGGGACCCCCAACAGCCAAGGGTCTATTTCTCTTCTTCCAACAGGTCTTTGGGAGGTCGTACTTGGGCTGACCTATCCTGAAACCGACCAATCCAAGAAGACCTTGATCTGGTGATATTTGGGGTATTCTAAAGAGGCCGAGTCATTGGATGTTGCTTCTTCTTATCATAGTTCCAGGTGGGGAATGCACGTGTATTTGACATACACACGCTTGAGAAGCTCCAGCGAGCCAGTTTCAGGCTGGTCCCAGAGAAGTCCAAGTTAACTATACGTTGCTCCACTGAACATCAAGGCAGGAAGTCCCTTTGACACATATACATACTGTATATAGATCGGTGTTAAGCTACAAAACCATGTCATTTGTTACGGCCCAATCTCAATCCCAGCAGGTTGCAAGCCAGTTCCTGGAAGTAGGTGCTCTCCCGGAGGGGCCCTATTTGTCCCATGTCTTAAAGCTGCTCAAGGCCGCTGCTCCGTCACCGGCGGATCCTCTCACCGCCGCTGGATCGGTGTTACGATGATTCTCCCACAGGTCGGCGCTGCAGGTGGTGCGACGCCCCGAGACGTTCAAGAGGTGCCGCGTAGCGAAGTCGTTCGAAACGGGGGGAGTTCGACGACGTAGCGTTCCGGTGCCGCGTACCGCGTACCGCGGGATCTCCGGCACCGGATGAGGCCGTGTCGTGGAGGCATGTGAGGTCGATCCCAAAGATCGATGCAATCAGTTCCAGGCACTCGACTGACACTCGATCAGCGACACCCGATCGGAGTCCAGTCGACTGACGATTCAACCAATGATCTGACGAGTTCGGTGACCCGAAATTCGGAACTTCCGAGCTGCTTCAGTGGGACTAAAGGATATATATATATATACAGTTGAACTGGACTTCGAGGGCAACACACAAGCCTTAAGAGGGGATGAAAGGATTGGCTCCATAGTACTCCATAGTACCATTTCTTTGGAGGACCTCTTTTGGGAGTCGAGAGCTGCGGCCGGGAGTAGGTTTCTGGTATCAATTGATCTGCGGATTCGAGTCCCAGACGCTTCGTGTCCAACCGGTGTACCGGTGTAGTCTTGGGACTCCCAGACGGACCGCCCAACGAAAAACCAGAGAACAAGCACCGCAGACGTTTCGAGCACGAGCACCGTTCGGGAAGCAGATCACCGCATACACACGGCATGGAAGAATCCTTGATTGATGAATCACAGGAGAGTACCCATAGAATCCCATTTAGATACCCCCCCCGTTCGTTTACCACACCGACCCCATCCTGTTCCCCAAAGGACTCTGATTGGTGAACTTCGGGCCCAGCGTCCACCCAAGACCATCAGGCCGCTGCGCGCTCCGTATCGCCATCAGATCTCAGATGCCAGCTGAAAGGGAGGGGGAAGCCACGGGACATCTGTCCCGTGACCCTTTGAGTGGCTTTGTCGAACGGTGCGTCGTCTCAACCCACCGCCGGGAACAGCGAGGAAAGGCTGGCGGCTGGCGGTGTCGACATGCCACGGCTGGGGCTTCGCATGGTGGATGGGGGGTGAAATGGATCCTCAGTTGGAAATGAGGGAACCTATGGGAACCTGATTGTTGCTCACTGTGAAGACTCTTCACATTGAAGACAATAGCCGTTCCAAGGCGTTATCAGCCGACGTTGTATTCAGATTCTCCATGATTCTCCTGTCCTGTTGATCAGGTCCTTGACTTGTCTTGTGGATTACCCAGCTTTGGTTTGTTGCTTTCTCTTGATGGCAGCAACGGAATCTTTGACAGCCCAGACCGAAGTCCAGTTCGACCATTTGGGGCACCGAAGCAGCGGAAGTCGCTCGGAAGTAGCTCGAAGCTCGGATCATCGAACTCGTCGGACTGAGAACAGGACTTCAAACTGGACTTCAAACTGATGGAAGTCTCTCAGGGGTTTGGACTTCAAACTGGTGGAAACTTCCCTGAAGACTGGTGAAACTGGTGGAAGTCTCTCAGGGGTTTGGTGGAAAGACCCTGAAACTCTCCCACCAAACCGGTGGAAGGATCCGACCCCGTGCCGGGTTCCGCCGCCGCTAGTGGCATGGGGCGGCCGACCTCTTCGCCTGTCATGGTGTGGTTAGAGCGACCACGTCGCCAGGGTAGGTGCGGTCATAATGAGAGTTGGAATTTGCTGAATGCATAGCCGCAGAAAATGGCTTTAAGATGCTTTAAGGAATCAGCAAAATCCCATCCTGCAGCACGTGGGAGGGATCTTCCCTTCGTGGATTGCGAGGTTCAAGGGCTTTTTCCGGTGTTGCTGTTTCCAACATGTGGTTGGCTTGGGTTGGCTCACTGTCCTGGTACGATGTGTGTTTCTTCAAGCCATATGCGGCTCGGGATTCAATGAAGCTTTTTAGACCGCAACGCGCTCTGTGGACTGTGTGGCCACTCCTGTGCAGTCCGAAACCCAGTTGTTGACCTCAAAGGAAGAGGAGTTGGGTCAGCGTGACGGGCGTGACGTCTAACTGGGGGTAGCTGGAACACGAACGAACATCGCGATGTTTCGGGTGGACCAAAGTGTACCAAAAGCAGAAACAACTGAGTACGATGGTTTTTTGTTGACATGAATCAAGTGAACATGTGCCATCGCCCTTCTGCAAGGGGTTTCACATGGCTTCACCCCAAAAATAGTTGCCAGAGCTGCCAAAAGATTGAACAAGTATTTGACTGAAGAGGAACTGACCTGCATCCCCACCAGTGACATCTACGACCTCAGACACTCGGCATGGGGAACAGCAGTCGCCTTTTCACTGGCACAGACACCGTGTTTTGATGCGCACTGAGGCTTGCACAGTCTTGGCGATGCTGCAAAGATACGAGTTGACCAGACAGTGATCCATACAGAGGAAGACAACGAAGCTCATTGAAAAAAGAAGAGGCTGTAGCTTTGGGGGGTTATACTGTACCGGTGATTTGCAACATACGGGCAGATGCCTTGTGTAGTTGCTTCGATACTCCACTCCCCAGTGCCATAGGCTGTTGCTCAGGTGGGTGTGTATGAAACCAGCAAAAAACAGAAAACAAAAAGCATTTAAACAGATTCTGGAAGAGGAAGACAGACCAAAAGCCGTTCTTTTGGAATTGCCCAGTTGAAGACCTGCGCCCGATTGGGCACCCACGTGAATTGGTCCACTAGCTTGGACAAGCGCGTGAGTGTTGTGTTTGTGGTCCACGAACACCGTTGATCCTTGACGATTGTACACCCTAGAAGTCCAAAGACTATTTCACACCATAATATCAATCGAAAAATGTCCCTTAAACTGGGCGTTTTCCTAGTCAGACCAGTTTAAAAATATCGTCTTGGACTCCCAGAGGACAGACTCATGGGCTCCCCACCATGAAGGTCTCAGCACAACAAGCTTAGGCAGGAGGGCCGTCCACACACGCGACCCCCACCGACCCGACGGTGGATTCCGCGGAGTTGCCGGCGGAGTCGGGACACGAACTCGCCGGACCACGGTCACGTCGAGGAACCCCAATGTGGTGCTTTGACCAAAGATGGATGCTTGGATCAGCAAGTCGTCAGGGACTGTGCGCCTTCTTCCTCCTCGACCGACCCGATGAGGGGATGGGAGCGACTCGAAAAGAAGGGAACAAACATGCCCAGCAATCCGAGGGGAGCGGACCCAAGCCATACACGACCAGACTCTTGGATGATATGTCAATCCGAGGTTTTACAATCCTAATATTTCTTGTGGGGGGATGTGGGGGGGTTCGTCAAGAGTCTACATCAGATTCAAAACTCTATGGCTCTCGCTCTATTGAGGGCCCCAGGAAGGTTGGCAGGTTTATGAGTCCATTGACGTGCATTGGGTTGCCATGATTTTGCGGATGGGAGATGGGCACAGGAATATCTTCGGTTGGAAAGCACGAGTGTTTGGAAGCATTGTTTTTTGCATCGTAAGAGCTCGGAACCTTCTTACCCTGTTGCTGGGTTGACTCGGGTCTTGAGTGAGAGGTCGTCGTGTCAGGGTTTGAGGCATTTTGAGGCCCTAGTATCTGAACATCCAAGTGGTGTTCGTATGCCTGGTCATATGCCTGGTCATATCCAGTATATGTAGAGTCGTATGCCTGGTCGTATCCAGTATATGAACATCCAAGTGATATCACTACATGGCTACACTCTTTCAACAAAACACGGACACCTAGCGACCACAGTTGACATCTAAGCACGTTTGAGCATTCTGAGCGCATGCAGATAGGGGTGGACTGGAGGTAGACGGCAACATTGGTTGATGGATGAGTTACTTGAAGGCTTCTGGTGATGTTTAATTGCCTGCTAGAGATCTTCTGGGGAAGTTGCAGGAAGCCTGTTTTTGCGAAGGTCCCAAAATGGTCGGTGCCACGTTCGTGATCAATTCAAAAGGAAAGAACCGATCTGTTTAGGGCGTAACTAATGGATTGCATGTTCCAAGTTGCTGCTTTGCTGCTTGTGTGTCTTTCTTCACACCAACCACATGTCGACCAAGTCCACATGCATTAGGGGGCATTTCGCCGAACGTGAACGACTTCACCTCAAAGAAGAGGATGGAAGCTGCTGGCTGGCCACCGGGCGTGCAGATTTGGTTCAACCTCGAAATCATGTAGGGTTGACATTTGCTGATTTGGACAGGGTTTGTTAACTAGGGTAGACCCACCTGCAGGGTTTCCCCATTCAAAATCCACAGCGACTTTGCTGAAAGGGTTCTTTCTTCAGTGCTGGTTTAAGCATGTTTAGGCGGCGGTTTCCGGTGATGAGGGGTCCCTCTCATGTCGGTGGTGAGGGGTCCTGCAGCATTCTGTGCACGAAATGCACCAAAGTGCATCCAAGCCTTTGTTTCAGAGGATGCAATATGATCATATATATAATATATAATATTAATATTATACATTATTGCTGATTCTAAGGCTATGCCGCGCTCGTCAAACCCCTGAAAGTCGCAGACATGTTAAAATGACTGATCTGGTTTTGTCCTCTAAAGTCTGTCCTTAGTACAACAATGGTTGTCCGGGACTCAGGATATCAATGGCAGTTCGAATCCTAGAGAAACCCCACCCACTCGGACCTCCGCCATGAATGGACTCGTTTGTTGGGGTGTCTCGAAGGACTGGCGCCCGGATTCGCTTGCACATCGCACAAACATCGCGGGGAAACCCGAGGTCGTGGAGCAAATATACTGAGCACAGCTGGAAACCAAAGACATATTCCAAGAATGTGCCTCCCGGGACTCTTGGCCGCGGTGGTGTGTGTTTTTGTTGGCCAAGAGTCATGTGTTGGGCCAGAAGTTTCACAGAGTCTTGATGACCCATGATGACCCCAAGAATTGTTGAAACATGTTTGAAGGCTGGCCAGTGACTAGTGACTCTAGTGGTTGTTCAGCTTCAGCAGGGCCGATGCTCTGAACACGCTGGCAGATGCTTTGCGGCGATGTCGTACCAGACTTCTTTGCCTTTTGAAAGACCTCCGTGGCCACCATCCGTGCCGTTGTTCTTCCCGACATGGAGGCCATAGGAGCGCATCGCTACTAGCAGCGTTCGAGCGCTACTAATAGTCTCCTTCAGGGCCTCAAGTCCTATAGTAATCAGTTGGAATGTGTTGGAATGCATTGGATTATGGTCACCAACTCCAATGGATGTGCATCATCGGATTCGTTGGGATTAACCTAGGTCCTATTGGGGCTTTGTCAGTGGCGGCCCTGTGATGGAGTTGTCGCTGACGCTGAAGGGCAAGGGAACACTGCTCATCACCTTTGGCAATCAATGCACGGAGCCGAGCTTCGAATCTGCGCAGATTGGGAGCTTCGAATCTGCGCAGATGACAGAAAGCGCAGAGTTCGCAGCGCTGAGGCTGTGGCAATACACAAGTGAAGCTGAATGGAAAGTCCCTCGCCAAAGCCTATGCGAAGGAGATTAGCCACTTCGCGAGCAGTTTGGTCGACCAGTTGGACTGTTTGCGTGGGACAAAAGCTGCAAAGGATCCTAAAACCTGGTTTTGATGTTGATCTTCCCTGTATTTTAGTGAATCCCCCTTCTGGAAGAGGGTGTTATTTTGTTGGGTTCCTGGCATCTGTAAATCCCAGAAAAGCCATGGCAACTGTCGCGGATCCGCTCAGAGCCAATCATCAAGAGCCCTGGGAGTCCAGTCCTTCCTCGACTTGAGTCGAGCCCTGGTCTGACGCGGTTCGGTGATACGTTTCGCTACTTCAGTGGGTGCCAGTCTTTGGGACTTCACAGGGAGAGAGTGGCCAAAGGACTTGAGGTGAGGCGACAGGACAGACAAAATAAAATCCATTAACTCCCATAAAATATATTGGCCTAGAGGTGTTAGAGCGAGTGAACGGATGAAGATACAAAAGATTAATGAGCATTAATGTTCAATAGCGTGTTAATATGAAAATTAATGTGAATGAATGAACCAGTAAATCCTCTAAGCGAAATCTGTGCTTCTCGGGATTTAATGGTTCCTTCATTTTCATTCTATAACTTTATTGTTGTTCTAACCCACATAAATAGATGATGACAACCATAAAGCCATTATATATTTCTTTGTATTTTTGGTTTGTATTATGTTTTCTTTTATCTTAACCCAAAAATACCAACATTAAATTCATAGGTTGATAATATTTTTCCTAACTTATGACCTTCATCTACAAACAAAGAAGAAACCGATACAAACATATTCTCAACCAACTATTAATATATAAATACACTAGCATTCATCATGAAATGTAAAGATTGAATAAACTAAATAATATGAATGAGCAAATTAATTCCATTAAGAGATTTTATATGAACTAATTGGCTAGAAATAAAAGAAATACCATCCAATATTAGATCTGAAATGCGATTCCAAAGGGTGTATCGGCAGGCCAGATCATCCATGGTATTTCTTGTTTATGATGGTATGGCTTTTATAGTATTATGATCTTTCCCATTAATTGTATCATGATTACTAATTAAAATTCATGGGTTCTCTATTCTATTTTTTTATTCTCTTATTATCTGGCAAAATTAGTCAAGAGATTTCCTATATTCGCGGCCATGGAATCTATCAATTTTGCCGCCTGTTCACCTTCAATGTTCATCTTAGATTTTTATAGGTCATAATGGCTTTTTACATCATAAATAAAATTGAAAGGTAAAAAGCCATTAATCTATTCACGTTTGCCAATTAGTTTTACAATAGCCATGGTCTATTAGAAATTAATTGGGCCTGACCGGTCCGAGGTCATTATAAAGAGATTCACTTCAACGACGGAGACACGTTGACCTTTGGAGAGTACAACACTGCAGTGCCTTCGAGCAATACATCGGGCGGAGCGAGGATCGAGCAGCTCGAGAGAGGCTCGAGAGAGGCTCGAGGCGTTCCACGAAACCCCGACGTCCATGTTCGCGGTGCCTCCAGAACCTCCAAACCCCATCCCATCCAGGGCGGCTCTCTCTTTTTCCCGCCGACCAGAGCCGGTTGTTGGGTCTCAAACAGAACTGCCTGTGGGCCAAGGTGGCTGGAATCTGGAGGTGTTTGTTGTGAAATTGTTTTGAAATGGCCCGATTTAGGTCTTGATCATCTCGGAGGTGCACTTTGTGTGTGGTGCCCATGTGGAGAAGTTTGCCAATCTCGACTGTGAAGGCAGCAACGTGCCCCGTCCAGTTTCGCCGGACACAAGGAGGATGGACATGTGAAAACCCGGGGTGAGTTGGGCCACGACATAAAAACATGACATAAATGTGATGTTTAATGTGTATAGACCCTCGCCATCCCTAGCCTTCAAGCACCATGAAATGAATGGTTGATTTGTTTGGAAGTTTAAATCCTTAGTAAAACAATGGTTGTTGGGTAAAGACAATTAAACAATGGTTGTTGGAATCCCAGGGTATATGTGTGGAGTGTGTCCGTTTATCGGCAACAGTCGGTAAAAGACTATCGCTAGTTTTGAGAAAGGCCTCTACAAACCATGATCATCCACTGTTGCTGGCAATGGGATATAATATTGTTTAAACCCGAAATATATGTGCGTCATTGGTGAGGTGACTTCTATTTGTTTATACTAGAATTACTAGAAGGCAGGAAGTTTTTTGCTGGATCCGAATTCTTGACCGGACCACAACCATCCACCACCCACAGTGTCGGCCAGGCCGTTGGGAGGACATTACACGATGGCAATGGCTGTGCATCGTTTAGCCTCGATGATACAAGTGGATTACTACCCAGGATCTAAGAGGTGGGACTACCCTGTGCTAATTAGACTATCTCCAATGGGTCCATCGGTCCATATTGGTCCAACCCTTTGTTTGTTTCATCTCTTGGAGACGTTTCTTGCATATATTCTTTGTGGGGGGTGACGTTGTTGAACGAGAAATCCACAGGTGCCGACGTCGTTAAAGAAAACCATAGCTTCAGGAGTCTAATTCACTTACTTGTAGCTTTTCAGGGTGGTTCATGAACAAAGTTGTAAGTGTTCAAGAGCTGGGAGGATATCCTCCCCCAATCCCTGGTTCCACTATGTATGTTCGACTAAGCCGCGTGCTTGGGTCAGTCTACATCTTCGGAACAGACTGACCATTTGTTCTTCAACCAGTTGAGTGGAGTTTTCATGTCATGTCAGTTTTGGGGCCTGGCCAAGGTGGGGGTGTTTGTTGCTTCACCTCTATAAATTCCCATAGGTGTTCTCTAGTCATACCTATTTGGGGGGCACACCCACTCTCCGTTTTCGTCTCAACGTCTCCACCCACTCTCCGTTCGCCGAGGTGAACGACTTCTCCAGCATCGACCCCCGGGCTTTCAAGGGACCGGAGGTCGGTTGGAGGGTCGGTTGGAGGGTGGGTTGGAGGGTGGGTTGGATCGCAGAGGGCCAGAACTGGTTGAGATCGGAGAGAGATCGGAAGTCGTCGAAGCTCTGAGAAGAAGGGGAGAAGAAGGGGAAGACCTCAGCTGGTTGACTCAAATGGTTTTTCAAGCGCTGTTGAAGATGCTGTGAACTTGTGTTCTTCAGGAGTGGTTTTGGCTAGTAGACAGACATGTTGTTCCTTGAATTAGAGCATTGCTTTTCGGCCTCAAACTGATTTTGGTTTGTTCGGATGCATTGCGCTTGCGCCACTTCGCCTTCGAAGACGATTTAAAAAGAGTTCAGTTAAGCTGGTCTCGTGTAGTCTGAAATCCTTCGTGAGACACCTCGCTTCTTCGGGGTCCAAGCTATGGTGGGCCACAAGGGCTACGAATCTCACGGTGATCACCAGAAGAAGCTTCCCAACTCCCAAGAAGTGGCACACATGGCAGGTGCCCCAAGTCTAGGAAAGTCCAAGAGATCCAATTCACCAGTTTCAGAGATCGATTTGAGTGGAAGCTGAAGCATTCCCCTGCTGTTTCATGATCGATATCACCCTTCCCCAAGCAGCGTGCGACTGTTTTCATGTGCTTCAGTCACCACCAGTCAGTCAGATCCGCCCAGAAAGGGTTCCCGGAAAAGGCAGTGGACAACTGAGGATGCCATGAACGTGGCTGGTTGGCGCTTTAAGGGCTTCAACGAAAAGAAGTATCGCTTTAAGCCTGGTGGACAGTTCGGCAAAGGAGTACCTCCAGGTTGCCTGGCTTTTTGCTTCATCAGCTCAGCGCGCGGACTCACCTGTCTTTTGGGGGCCGCACGGGAGCACGGGAGGGGTTTTATGGAAGATCTTGGGCATTTTTGAGAAGACTTGCAAATCTTCAGCAGAGACCAGGAGTTTATTACGCACGACTGGAGCGATCCAGGCGCCGCATTGTCTAGCATGGCCAGAGCAATGCTGAGAGAGACCAGGAGTTTAATGGATGTTGAAAACGGAGCATCCCCCTTAAGGCCCTTCACCGAAAAGGCTGGCGATCCGACAAGGGGCGGGCGGGCGACTTGAGATCGAAGGGATTCCGATGCGACGAAAGGAGTGTACCCTCCTGCGGACCGGACGTATGGGGGCGGTAGGGAACCATCGAACCGTTTCTGAAAGTCCCTGCAAACATCCTGTGGAATCCTGTCCGTATTCCCTGCATTCCTTGGGCCAGTTCCATGTTCTCGGGAGTCGGAGGTTTTCAGCATGGGCGATCAGGCTCATGCAGGCTAATCAGACAGGACCGGTCTTTTGGGTCATTCGAGCCTTCAGAGGCCCAACAAAAGGATAAAAGTGACCCAATTTTAATGGTTCTGAAGGAAGGCAGAAGGTGGTGTTTTGCCCAGTTTTTTTTGGGGGGGAACTTGTTCGTGAGACATGGTGGAGTCAGCCACCGGCCCAGTACCACCTCTTGAGAGGATCATGTTGGATCCCTAGTCACTAGGGGGATCGCCAGATGTCCCTCAAGCTAATGGTCTTTCAATGTTCTTCATGTTTGGTCCATCAAAGAGTTCAAGGAGGTCTCAGTTGGAGACCTTCACCATCTTCATGTTCTTGACAACGAGAATGGACACGCATGTTCAACACATGCGCCAAGGGCATGCCTTGCATCTTCACCAGTGTCAGGTCCTTTGTCGGTCTCACAAGGTCTCCCCAAAACTCCACGGTCACCACCCCACGGTCGCCTCCCAAAACTATGGACCCGGTGTCCGGACCCGACTAAACCCGCCCGACCCACGGGACACCAGACACCAGCCGGAGGTGTTTTCCCTGGTGTTGGGTCGAAGAGAGAAACCGCTCGAGATGCGGTACAAGGCTCTTATTGGGGCTTCAAGGGCCATAACCCCGCCTTGGAAGCCTTTTTGACTCTTCGTGGCCAAGGAGACGAAAAGAACGAAAACAAGCGAAGAGCTTAAGATGGTTGATCTAGATAGGGGAAGGCAACAGAGGATTCTGGAGGTGTGGCACCTGCAAGGATCAGAGCAATCAAAAGACACTTGGTATTTCACAGACCTGGACCTTCCTACGTACCTAAGATCTTTGACCCTCCTGCTTTTGTATCTGTTTTTCTGGCCTCGACCTAAGATTCAAGATTCGAGCAGAAATCCAAAATTCGAGCACTTTTGTGATCTTAGCTAGTTGGGACTCTCAGTGATGTGTGTGAAGTGTGCGCATGCAGACCGCCAAGCCAATTGAACCTCGGACCGCGGCTGGGAGTCAAAGGAAACATCAGTTGAGCACAGCCGACTGTTGCAACCCAAGTGGAGGCCAATCAGTTTGCCTATGTCTAGCTGTATTCACCAATGAATATATTGTTTCAACTTGGCGGGTCCAGCGGAGTCCAGCCATAGTGGTGCAGCTTTTCTGTCTCCGTCCGTCCATCTTGACTGCTGGCTGTGGTGCCCCTGGCCTGGCTGGAACATGTTGGAACTTGGAACTAGCTTTGCATATGCTGCACAAGCAAGGGCCACTTCTTCTTTGGAGTAGCTCAGTGACCCCTGCTTGACTGAAGCTGAGTGTTTGCACCTGATGCTGTCAAGAAGTGGCACAGCGTTTGTCAGCTCAGTGGTTCAAAGAAAGGCTCAACGTAGTGCTTAGGTTGTTGCACTAGGTTGCCATGGCCCAGACCGAAGTGAACCCTGTGGTCAGGGAGTGGGAGGAAACCAGGTGGTTAAGAGAGAGGGCTGGAGGCGGTGAGTTGGTCTTCTTCCGTGCTCCGGGCTCGGGTGAGCTTAATCGGAAAGACCTTCTTGTGAACAAGGAGATTGTGGGACCAGTTCTGAAGCACTTGGGTAGCTCGGACACAACTAGTAGTTACAACGTGCAGTATTGTGTGAACAATGTAGTTTACTGTACTTATGTTACTCTGCCCCTTTACTCTTGCAACTGCCACCCTAGGAACAAGACCTTCTGTGAGCGCAATTGTCCCAATTGTGGAGGAGTTCTTTTGGCGGCGCCGGGATGTCTTGAAAAAACCAATGAAGGGTTTCTCGACTGAGTGCAGCACACAGCCAAGTTTGATATGCTCGAATCTCGAATCTTAGGCCAAGGCCATAACAGGAGGGTCAAAGATTTTGGGTATGTAGGAGGGTCCATCTCAAAGCCTATACCCAGCTGAGGTTCTGATATCAAACTTCAGGCATGGGCATTGCGGCGGCTCATTTCCATCTTCGCTCGCTGCGCCCGTCGGCCCCACATTCCCCGTGAACAAGCAATGAAAGATCTTTACATTCTTGCAGACATTGAGCTTCCAGAAGGACAGTTGATGACAGCTATAACCTGTCTAGAACACATGCACTCTTTGCAACCACTATTGGGCACACCAAACGGGGCCATGGTGTCCCACCCCAAACTTTCCAGGAACCGATGATGGTGATGTAGAGGCCACCGCTACTGATGATGCGGGTGATGAGGAAGGTGAAGAGGAAGAGGTCAAGGAGGAAGACCCTGAAGTTGAAATCGTTGCTCAGGAGAGGGTCCTGTTTCTTTCCCTAGCGGCCCTAGCTGTTGACCCTTCAACCGCCTGTTGCAGGACCCTGCCACTGAACTTGGGGCCAAACTCGACGCAGCCAGTGTCAAGAAGCCTGGAGGCTGGCAAACTTCCAGAGCATACAGTTTGCAGGGCCCTTTCTTCGCTAGGACTGGTTCAAAAAGAAGCACCAGCTCTTCCCTCGCCCAGCCCAAGTTCCTCGGATCCATTGTGTCCTACCATTCGCATGGGCTTGACTTTACTGTTTTCTGGGCATACAGCTTCCAACTTTGCCCTTACCGAGGCTCCAGTATGTCTCCATCTCCGTCGGCTGTTTCTTCTACCTTGTCCGAGACTCCAGTGCCTATTGCGAGGCACTATTTGCGTATGGGGGCGACAGGTTTCGAATGTGTGCAGTGTGGTTTGGTAGCTCCGGACTTTCAAACCCTGCATGAAATCCCGTGCCACGTGTCAGTGACTTTAGAGTTGCACTATGAAACCCAGAAACTGTTCCGCTTACAGCAGCTTCGGTCCATGGAACAAGACTTGAAGAAAAAAATTGCCCAAGTACAACAAGATTCTGCACCGGCACCGCCCCAGCCTCCAGCCCAGTGTCGGAGCCTCAGGGCATCAAATCAAAGTGCAACTTATTAATTCAACTTGGATTTCACGGTACTAGCTCCACTTTGTTCACTTGCAGGAAAAAGTTTTACTTACTAGCTAGTATATAATTATAATGTTGCCACATCAGGTCTTGACAATGTGGATACCCAGCACTGGGACATCATGGAGGGAGTGGAGGTGAAGTCTGACAAGATCCCCAAGCCGTCCCACACATGGAATGGAGAGAAGTTGCCAGACACTCCCTCACCTGCGTGGTTGCATAGCCCGGCTGATGAGGAGAAGAAGGGAGCGCCCCAGATTCAGGAAGAGGTCCACGCCCTAGGCTTCTTCATCCAGTATTCGGAGAAATGGCTTGATGATCTGCAGCACGTGCTGAAGGAGTCTGGGATGGGAGATGTTTTGGAGCACTTGGTGGTTTTTGGCCGCTTAGGCCAACAATACTCTTTCAACCCCTTTGGATGCTTGAACCACTGGCCTCCTGTGACTGAATTTCCGCTGCGGATCATTTTCCAGCCCAATGCTTCGAAGGCAGCGTCTGCAGAGAGCGCATCAGTGAACACGCGCTCAATTGAGGAGATTCAAAGCGGGATCAAAATGAGGCTCTTGCCATTATTGGATTCTGCCAGCTATCCGAAGCTTCCTGAACCCATGAGCCGAGAAACAAGATTGGCAAAGGCTGGCTTGCCGCCACCTTTCCAAGAGCAAGACCCGAAGGAGCCACCCACACCGCCAGCTGGAGAGCCAGCAGCTTCTCAAACTGCCAATCCGACAGTCCAGGAAAGTCCAAACACGGGCAATCATTCTGCTGAGGCTGCTGAGATTGGTGTTGGCAAGCCTGCTTCGCCTTTCGCAAATGAAGACAGCCAAGTTCCTTTTGAACTAGACGTGCGCCCAGTGATTGATCTGGACGCAGAGGATGGTGAGAAGCCTGAACCTGAGAAGGCTCAGACAACTGATGGTGAGAAGCCTGAGGAACCTGAGAAGGCTCAGACAAATGATGGTGAGAAGCCTAAGGAA